GATAAAATGTTTCTGTTCTGTAGGTAGTATTCACATATAAACTGAAATTTGCAATGAAACAGTATTATGCAAATAAGATATTGGTCAGATAGAATGGTAAAAAATTGAACACAAAACCTCTTCCTGATCTTAAATGAAACACTGCTAAAGTAGAAGTGTACTTGCTTGAGATGTGTGTTTTGATGAATTTGTACACACTTACCTTATGAATTCACTGTCACAGTCAATCTAACATGCCCATCAACATAGTTTTCATTCCTTCTGCTCATTTATTTCTTGCAGCAAAAGATTTATCACAGATACCCTCTCCTGATGGATTTTGTATTGGTGGTGTAGTGCTTTTGTTACAGAAAGGGAAGGGTGCTGATTGCAGGGGACACGGTGCCGCTATACGGAAGGATGGGAACTGCAAAAATTACATACCATGGTTTCTATAGTTCATAGAACTTTCGATGACGATATTGGAGCATCAGGGTTATTTTCCCCAGAAGGGCAGAGGCCAGGGATAAGGGACAAAGATGGGAGATAGAGGACAAGAGAGAAAGAGGTGATATCTAGGGAAAGGGAAAGTGATGTCTGTCCTGGGGGAGAAGGACTGCTTCTGGATAGAGGAGACAGATGTGGCACCTAGGAAAGTGGGTAGTTTAGAAAGGCACAAGAGGAAACCTCATGTTTGATTTTAATTGGGCTTGTTAATTAAGTGAGGTAAGGTGGGGGTTTATTACTGGATTTTAATACTTCGATAGCTGGACCTTGATAGTCAGCCTCAGGAGGAGGGATTAGCCAGATAAGGGAATGGAATGGACCTTGCTGGCCTGCTTTAACAATGTAATCTAACAGGTTTAACAAGGCAGAGGGATGGGGAGAAGACCAAGGCCTACCAGAGCCCTAGTGTCCCTTCATTACCACTTTTTGTTTTAGTATTGGGTGGCCAGGTGTTGGGTAAGTGGGTACAATTCTCTCTGACTGCTTCCTGTTGATGCTGGGGTGGCATAGTAGTTATGGGACCCAAGGAAGCCGGGTACCATGTTGCTTAAGACTTGGAAAAGCAGGCTTTGTAAGCTGATGCTCAGGTCCTATCAGGCTGGTCTTGGAATTTCTGGAACAGTCTTCAGTTGACTTGAAATCTGTTGGGACAGGTAGAGTAGGGATGGATGTGTAGTTAAGGAGTTTAGACAAACGCTGTTCTTGGCTATATATTTGAAACCATTAGGTTTAACTGCTTAAATGTCATATTCAGCAGATGTCTGAAGAGTTTCAGGAGGAAGTATCTACTAAGTGTATCTGATAAATAGGAAGCTAAATAAAGCTTGTTTCTGTTACCATGAATGTAGTAAAGCTTTGTCATTACAGAATATTAGTGTTTGTTTTGAATGACTGAGTTTTAGCTGTAGGCAGTGTAAGGACAGTAAAGGGTCACTAAGTTGGGGAAGTGGCCAGGACCCTGGAGGAAGGATGTGTGAGATAAGAAGGGTCATAAAGTAATTAAAAGTGTAGAATTTGGCTTTAGGAAGGGAGGATGGAGGAGTCTGTGGTAGACAAGAGAACTAGTGTGCTGGGAGCATGGGTGGGGAATTGATTTTGGGACAGGAGGGGGCCTCACAGCATGGGAGCTGCACTTTGGAGTAACTGCAGTGAGGCTGGGGCTGGTCTTTTTGGGGTAGTATCAGGAGGACAGAGGGTGGGAGATGAAATTTTGTTGAAGGGGAGTTTTGGAAATATAGAACGGAGTTAAAGATATAAGAGATCTTGGGATCCTGTGTTTGTGTAAGCCTCAGGAGGCGTTTCAGAACAGGAAAGGGTTAAACCGGGAAGGTGGCAGGAAAACTTTGTGTCTGCCCTTGACCACAGAGGCTGCCATGGAGCAAGGGACCAGGAGCTAGGGATGGACTTGGCAAGGACAGAGGCAGGGGCTGCAGCAGACTGGGAGACAGAGGGTGGATTTATTTGGGTTACAGGTTGTAAAGGAGAGTTGGAGGGGTTGGCAGAGGAAGGCAGGGAGAGAGAATCTGAAAGGGACAGCAGTGGAGTTTCAGAGAAGGAAAAGCAGGGGCCGTTGTTAACAGCTGTAAGACACAGTGGACGTTTTTTTGTCATCAGGAAATAAACCTGCAACAGGGGAAATGGGGGTAGGAGTGTGTCGGATGTATTGGTAGCTTCTGGGACTATTAGGGTCTGAGGAGAGCCACCCATAGCTCTAGAGCCTGGGGGAAGGGGAAGAGTGACCACAGGGCTACAGAGGAAGTGTTTGGCTTGGTCTGAGAAGTTCTAGGCCACAGAGGTGTAGGGCATGGCTTTCTCTTGTAACAACATATGTATGTCATATATAACAACAATATGCTGTATGTCAGGGGCGGGGCAGGGGAGGGCAGGGCTGGCTGCCTCAAATGGGCTCCTTTCCTGTCACAAACTTTCACAAAAAGAGTAGCTGAAACTTCCCCAGACTTGCTCCATGTTTCAATCTAAAACCTCAGTATCTCCTTACCTGAGAGGACCAGGACAGCTCATGACCTCTGAAGACATTAGAGATTATGTCCTAGACTAAATATTTAGCAGGGAACATACCCTGTCATGTAAGAGCAATGACAGATATGAGAAACATGGGTTTGTTCTATGAATCAAGGCTGGTTTAAGAATTTCAAACATCCACCTGATACTTTCCATCCAGAAAAAGTAAAAGGGAAATATGTTTGCCATTATAGATGGAGGGAGAGAATTTGATGAAAAGTTAAGATGCATTCATGAATGTTAAAACTGGGACCAGTGCTCATGCATTGCAAATGGATTTACAAAGAACCTGTCTAAAATATTCTTCTGTTGCACAAAGGGACATATTATCATAGAAATATTTGGAATGGCATCAGTATTTTCTATGCCACATGTGTATTCTACATTCATGAAGGCATAAGGATGACAAGGCTAGTAATAGTGGTGATGGTCACAATTCAATTAAGGAGCTACAACTATTAAAGATATTGTAAGAAAAATGCCTTTATTTACAAAGAGATTAATATTATAATTAGAAAATCTGCAGGGAACTTTTAACAGGAAGATAATGCATGTATCAAAGCCACTAGAAGTACAACATTAAAAACTTAATTAAAAAGAAGCACTGGGAAGATCTTATTGTCTGAGCCATTTGTAAACACCAGAAGCACACCATGAGAATGGAAAAGCCCTACTCTACTAGAGAAGGGTCATGAGCTTCTCCACCTCATTTCCAGGTGATGTCCACTGTGGCTGCAAGAAAGGCAGATTTTTAAAGTCACTGACAACCCAGGAGGGTTCAGGAAGTTGTCGTGGGCTAAGAAGCCTTCACAAACACCGCACAAGGCCTTCGGCCCCAGAGACTTCTCATGATTTACAGCAAACCATCTGAAATCTGCACCCACTGGGAAAATGGACAGGAAATCACTCACAGTCCCTAACAGACACACATACACACACATACAAAGTACACAAAGAGGGGAATCACACAGACACTGAAAAATCCCAATTTGAAGACCCAGGCACATAGATCCTACCCAACTTGAGACTGAGCCTAGACAGAGAGGCTCTTTCTTCCTACCATGAACAGCAAGAACTGTCCTCAGGTGGTTGGACACTAGTGGACACCAGGTAGATTTCATTCAGCTGTGGTTTCAGTGACTAATTCTTGGAGAATAAACTATGAAGAATGTGTCCTGGAAGCAATGACTGGGTGGATAAATATACAATCAAGTTTCTTTCTTAAATATTTTTTAAAATTTAAATGGAAAGTAATCTTGTTTTACATATCAATCCCAGTTCCCTCTCCCTTCCATCCTCTCATGACCCCACTGACCCATCCCCATCCCATCTCCTATCCACTTCCCAGGGAGAGTGAGTCCTTCCATGCAGTATCATAAAAGTCTGTCACATCATTTGGGTAAGGGCCTAGGCTTAGAGAGTATCCCTCCATGGGGGAATGGGCTCCCAAACTCCATTCGTGTAGTAGGGATAAATACTGGTTCCACTGTCAGAGGCCCTATAGGCTGCCCAGGCTTACTGTCACCCACTTTCAGGGGGCCTGGTTTGGTCCTAAGCTGGCTCTTCAGCTGTCTGACTGGGGTTCATGAGCTCCCACTTGCTCAGGTGAGATGTTTCTGTGGATTTCCCCAGCATGGTCTTTATCCCTTTGTTCATCACTCTTTCCTTTCCACAACTGGATTCCAGGAGTTGGCCTCAGTGCTTAGTTGTGGATCTCTGCTGCTGCTGCTTCCATCGGCTACTGGATGAAGGCTCTAGGATGGCATTTAAGGTAGTCATCAATCTCATTACAGGGGAAGCTCAGTAGAAAAAAAACAATGAAATCTTGATGGAACTAGGCAAATGGATGGAACTAGAAGAAACCATCCTGAGTGAGGTAACACAGCCATAGAAAGATAAGCATGGCATCCACTCCCTCATATGTGGATATTAGACATAGATCATCAGCCTACAATCCACACCTCCAGAGAAGCTAGGAAACAAGGATGGCCCTAAGAGAGGCATACATGGTCCCCTGGAGAAGGAGAAAGGGACAAGAGCTCCAGAACAAAGTGGGAGCATGGGGGAAGTAGGAGAAAGAGGAGGGGAGAAGAGGAGGGGGGAGGGGAACATGAAGGATCAGGAAGATTGAGTCTGGGGAAGGATAGAGGAGAGCAAGAGAAGAGACACCTTAATAGAGGGAGCCATTATAGGTTTAAAGGGTAATCTGGCACTAGGAAAATATCCCCAGATCCACAAGAATGACCGCAACTAAGAATCTAAGCAAATGGTGGAGAGGCTCCCTTAAATGCGATCAGGTTTCTGGTGAGATGCTTTATGACTAAGTGCGTGTTGCTTCTGCTGTGGTTGCACCTGGGACGTTGCACCAGAGAAGGCACATGAGAGGCCATCTGTTAAGGCCACACGCCATCTGAAGGAAGTTATGTGAGGATGGTCTGGCTGAAAATGTGAAGGAGACCCAGTAGGGAGTCTTTGAGAAGGAATGGTCAGCCACTGACTACTCTCAGCTGGAGAGTTACTTCTCAGAAAGACACTAGGGCTATTTATTGCTAAGCGCTGGCCATTGATGATGTGAAAATAATTTAGCCAGATATAGAGATTCCGTGGAATTGCTGCTTCTGCAACAAGAGATTATAGCTGGGCTATAACCCTAACACACAGGAGATTGAGGGGGGAGGACCAAGAGTACGAAGACTGTTGGGCTTTGTGAGGCTCTTTCTCAAAAGATTGATTTGAGGATCTAGGTCCTGCTTGAACTGTATCAGTGGAGAAATCAGACTGTTGACTGGACATGGCAGTTCCTCTTCCTGTGAGGCCGCTGAAATGTGATAAGGGGGAGAAGGCGCGGTAGAAGTCATTCTCCCTGTGTGTCGTCCCATCTGGCTTTGTCACCAGCCTCCTACAAGGTTGCAGCCACAGGGGGAGACGCCATGACTGGGACACTGTCAGCATTCCTCTGCTTTGGTGAGATGTGAAACTGGGAGATAACACCCTGCTGTGGGGGGGCGGCTTTACTCTGCAGCCAGACATCTCAGACACCAGGACACCTCAGGAACCCGGAAGGCAGCTGAGGCAGGGAGGGCCTACTCAGTCTTCAGGGACAAATCTCTCACAGGGAACTCTCTTCCAGGACTGACTCTGGGCCTCAGGAACTCAGTGCTCACATGTAAGTGTGTCCTCAGGTGTCTCAGGTCCTCCATCTTCACTGAGGACAAGGGGGCATCTCTGGGTGAAGGACAAGGGGGCATCTCTGGGCAGTGGGCATGGAAAACAGCAGATGGGGGCTGGTGCTGTGAAACTGAAAAGCCTGGTGTCCCATGGAACAGCTACTGATTTCCTTGCAGGGAGACTCCCAAAGCCTTTGATCCGGGCTGAGCCAGGATCTGTGGTTACCAATGGATCCAGAGTGACCATCTTATGTGAGGGGACCTCAGGTGCTCAGAGTTACTACCTTTACCAAGATGGAAAACCAGGTTCCTGGTACAGAATGACTTTGATGAAGCCTGGAAACATGGCCAAGTTCCTCATCCCTTTTACTGAAAGGTCCCACGCTGGGCGTTATCTGTGTTTATATCACAAGCTTCATGGTTTGTCAGAGAAGAGTGATACTCTGGAGTTGGTGGTGACAGGTAAGGGTTCCAGCCTAATTTTCCACATTCAGAAAAGGGGTCTGTCTGTTCTCAAGACTGTTTCCCTCCCACAATTCAACCCGGAGGGACAGTATGGGCTGTGTGAGTCCATGTAACACGTCACCTTCTCCTGTCTAGGGTACTACACAAAGCCCATACTATCAGCCCTGACAAGCCTTGTGGTTACTTCAGGAGAGAACATGACCTTCCAGTGTGTCTCCTGGGAGAGATATAACAGCTTTATTCTGACAAAGGAAGATGAGAAGTTCTCCAGGCCCCAGGACTCACAGTATATAAACTCTACCGGGCATTCCCAGGCTCTTTTCCATATAGGCTCTGTGACGGTCAGTCATAGAGGAATGTTTCGATGTTATGGATACAAAAATAGTACCTATATGTGGTCTGAACCCAGCGACCCCCTGGAAATACACATTGCAGGTGAAGTATTCCCAGCAACTGTATAATAATGTTTTTGAGACCTATGAGCTCTGTCTGTTCCCTGAGGAGTCCCATACAGTAGGTTGTTGAAATAAGCCCCAAGGTCTTGACCTAGTGTTTTGGAATGTTAAAGAAGTGGTACCTGCAGAGCATGATGGGAGGGGGTGGCTATATGGCAAGAATCATGTCTTCCTTCCAAGGCTGTCCAGAATGCCCTCCTTTCTGACCTAGCATGGCCCTATCCTGGCTCCTGGAGAGACACTAACCCATCAGTGTTTCTTTGATATCAGCTTCAGTGGATTTGCACTGTCCAGGGAAGGGAAGGAGGAAATGACCTCTCCTGGCACCTACAACCCTCGTGGCCTACAACCCTAAATGGGCACTTGGGCTGACTTGAGTGCACCTGTCATCGTTGGCCAAGTATAGATGACATGGTACACACAGACTCTCTTCTGGATGACCACACCCCAGTGTCCTCCTGGATACCCTGGTCACAAGTTGGGAGCCTAGCCAGTCCAGTCAGAGACCCCGACTAGGCAGGATGTACTGTAGAAGTTCAGGTTGTAAAGGTCAACATGAGGGGTATCTTCTCATTAAACTATAGATGAAGAGATGAAGCTGAATCAGTGCCACCCAATTTCCTAGAGATGAGAGCTAGTAGAGTCTCAGGTAAAGGTGGGTCATCCCTCATTCATCCCTCTTTTCTCTAGGACAACTTAAGGTGGCACCTACCCTCTTAGTGCACCCAGGCTCCATAGTGTCCTCTGGAGAGAATGTGATCCTGCTGTGTCAATCATGGCGACAAATGGACACCTTCCTTCTGTCTAAAGAGGGGACTGCCCATCCACCCCTGTGTTTAAGATCAGTGTTGCAAACTGGGCTGTACCAGGCAAAATTCTCCTTGACGAATGTGACCTTTGCTTATGGGGGCACCTACAAGTGCTACAGTTCTGAAGACTCATCCCCCTACATGTTGTCACAACCCAGTAACCCCGTGGAGCTTGTGGTCTCAGGTGAGTGGTCTTTGGCCTCTTTGAACTATAAGGTTAACTCGTGACTCTACAATGGGAAGAGCTCTTAGTTGGGATATGAGTGAGGGGAAACAGGGAGGGCCAATCAAGTGGGCGATTCACCACCAAAAGTTGCAGAGCCTAATTGCAGTCCTTGAAAAATTGCCATCTCACCTCTTTACTGAAATTCAGAAAGTTCTAATGGGGGCAGCAGGAGACTCTTGGGTAGCAGATGTAAGACAATGAGAGACTAAGTCTCCAGGCTTAGCCTTTCTCCCTCATATTCAACTTGTCTTCTTTCCCAGAATTCTCTGGAGACCCCAACTCCTCACTCCAAGAGCCCATCCCAACATATGGTGAGTGTCAGTAGCCTCTCTCTTGAGAGTTTGCTCCATCCCCAAGCTGCCCACCAACCCTCAGCACATCTATACCTGGTTCCTCTATCGATTCAGTTTATGTCCAAGATCTCAGCAGCTTCTTCAGTATCCTAGATCCTGGGATACGTAAGGAGACATCCAGATAGAGAGGTTAGGACTCAGACTGGGGAAGAGCAGGTGGATGAGATAGAGAACAGAGTGCCAAGCTCTCCACCTGCCCATCCCTCTCCAGCATGCTCTGGAAACTAGGACCTCGCCCATGAGAATCCAAGCCCAGGGAATACCGAAGGTAGTGTTAAGATGTAGGCTCCAAGGGGTCAGAGGAAATCAGGGGCTTGGTGCAGCCTCTTTTGGAGATTCAGACTTAGATAAGCCTTTATGCTGTCCCAGTCTGTTTTTCCAGCATTGAAGGGGACAAGCCGGGTCCACATTTTTAAGTTCCTTTCAGCAGTGACCTAAGCTGGGACCTCCCCTGACATCGGAGACATCCAGAACCTGATTCTGCATTGGGGCTGTCCCTTCTTACAAAGTCACAGTGACATGTGAAAGGGCACAGACCAGGGTCATAGCAGGGAATTCAGTCTACTTCCCTCTAGTTCATGGGATTCATCTTTGGTGTGAGGAGCAATGATTCCCAGGGTTCAAGCCCCAGATTTGCCACTTCCAGCTAGGTGATCTGGCTTACTGGGTGAGGGAATGAACCCTTATTGTATGATTGTAACAAGGGCAGGTAATGAGTGCAAAGACCCTGAAGCATAGGTCTTGCACACAGTAGGTATTCAAGCAGGTGGCATGGTTCCTTATTCATGATGTTACCTTTCCCTAGGAGTTGAAAGGCACCTGAATGTTCTCTTTGTGATAGCTGTGACTTTACTTCTGTTGCTTTTTCTTCTCACCCTCCTCCTTCTCCAATGTAAGCATCAAGATAAACGGAGGAAAAAAGGTGAGTGGGTTTAAATATAGGTGATCAGGGTATCAGAAGGTGGCGGGTTTCCCTATGTTCCATCTAATCAGGGGCCAGGTCACTAAGACCAGGGAAACCATCCAGACTGGGACAGATGAACTTTAAGAAGCAATTCTGTAAAATCTCAGATGAGAAAAATGCCATCTCAATACCTGTGCAGATGTCAAGTATTCTGTATAAATTTTCATCTCCTGGAACATATCCCGTGAGCTGTAAATGTCCCCATTTTTTTGTGGATGCCTGGGCTTAAGGGAACTCCATTCTATTGTCTAACATACTTCCCTGTCTTTCAGCCCAGAGAGAGACCATTAGATTACAACTTCTTACAGAATCTGCGAAGCCAGTGACTAGGGACAGAGGTACTCAGAAGAGGTAACTCGGGACAAGAGACACAAACTTTCACCTGCCTAACAGGGCTCACTTTCAGAAAACATCATTTTGTCCCCACAGTTCGATTTCAGCTGCTGCCATCCATGAAGAAAACCTGTGCAAGAGCAAGACAATCCTGGAGAGAGAGATGTCCAAGGTCTCAGTTCACAGGGCTACTGGAGAGGTTCTGGGGTCCAAACTCTGAGGAACCAAACCCTCACTGTGGACCCAGGGCTTTTCTACCCATCTTATGCTTCACACACAGCCTGAGGATGATGGGGATCTTGACCAATGGATGAAGTCCCTGTCTCCATCTGTAGTTAGAAGACTTGGAGCCCAAGTTAGCCTAGAGGACCTTTTATTGTTCTCTCTCTCTTGTGATTTAGCAACATCCAGAGATGACTCTTCCCTTCTGCAAGCACCTGACAACTGGGTGCTCTGGTCTCGCTCTCCAGGTTTTCCCAGGACCACATTTCTCCTCCTTTCTTTCCCTTTCTGGCTTCTTGGCATCTGTCTGTTTGTTACCATGCTCCTGGGGATCTCAGAAGGTCACACGAATAAATGAGGCCAGATGCTCCCAATACCTCTGTTCACTCACTCACCCAGCTGTCACAGGAAACACCATCTAGACCAGGCTCTCTTCAGGAGTCACAGTTAGAGCAAAGAGCAAACTCACTAGCTATGAAGAGACAACATGGTAATAAATGCACAATGTATGTAGTACAAAGCAGAGCAAGGGGAAGAGTACTTATGGCAATGAACACCCTGTGAACCATGAGGCGTGACTGAAATGTGCCATCTGAGGGGAAGAGGGACTGTAAAGGTCCACAGAGACATCTAAAAGACCTGGACCTGCAGCAGGAAGACAGGGTGAGTGATTGGAGGCAAGACAGCAAGGTTAAGAACATCAGGATTAAAGGTCCCATGGTAGGGGTTCCCAAGACCCAACAGGAAAAACAGGAAGCAGCCTGTAAGCTGGTCAGTGTGTTGACTGTAGGTGCAACCATACCCCTTCTCTTCTGCGACCGCCTTTCCTGCCTCTTCCTCCCCATTCCAGCTTTAAACCCCACTCCCTAGGAAATAGCCAACCAGAATGTAGTTCACTGTGTATGGAGACAAAGAAGATGAAGATGTGTAAAAGTTCTGTTCTATATACTTGACTCCCTGGCTCTGAGGACCAATCCCACAGAGAGTGTGCTAGAACATAATAAAGGGTACTTCATGCAAAAGATCACCAGGGTCCTATTTCTCTGTTCAGAAATTCTGCACCGTTTCTTGGGGGTTCCATCCAGACACACACACACACACACACACACACACACACACACACACACAATATATATATCTTGTCACAGTGATGTAGGACCCTTGAATTCTCCTGATGGCAGTAGACTCATCAATACATAAGAAATTAGTCTTCCTGACATCCTCAGGCAAGAACCACAGAAGCACAACAGATCTCAGTCTCAGGAGTCAGTTCAGAGTTGCTGCATATCTGATTGTTGAGAACCTACGTTTATTTTAGCTTTGTTCAGCCTACCTAAGAGGGTAGAAGTTCAATTCCATCCCTTTCTAGAGCCTCAAAAGCCTTTAGTAGTCTCATGTGTAGGAGTAATGCAGAGCTCTACAGACTCCAGGGTGTGGATGGAATGGTAAAGACATTGACTGCATACAAGTAAATAGGATGGGTGATAGGTAACTACCAACTGCAGATCAAGAGTTTACATCCCTCTCTTTTGTGTTGTTGTCATCTTGTAGGAGGAGCAAATGGATACATGACAAAGTAAACTCACTCCCTATAACCCATAGTGAAACAAAAATGGTTATTTGGGAGATTTTTGTTATTTATATGTCTCCTAGAAATATTCTGGACGGTCCATGAAATAGACTGGCCATCATTTTGGTGGGATGGTCCTCTGAGGGATCATCCAATAAGGATGTATTTTAGCTATTCTTTTGCTGTTGTGATAAAACACCATGGTCAAGTATACTTTGGGAAGGAAAGGTTTATTGAGTCTTACAACTTGTAGCCCACCATCCAGGGACATCAGGGAGGAACTAAAGGCAGGAACTTGGAGGCAGGCGCTGAAGTGGAGACCTGATAATGTGCCGCTTGCTGGCTTGCTCCTCTCGTCTCACTCAGTTCGTTTTCTTACACAACTCATGCTTGATGACTTAGTGCTGGCAGCTGTCACTGTGAGCTGCCTCCTGCCACAACAGCCATCTATCGAGAAAATACCCTACAGACTTTCCAGATGCTAATCCGGCGGGGGCAATTTTTCTCAGTTGGGATTCCCTCTTCCCAAAACACTGCAGCTTGTGTCAAGTCGACATAAAGCTGTCCAGCAAGGAAGTAGCAGAGCGTCCAAAGAATAAAGTGTTCAAGCCTATGTGGGAATGCAGGGTATCCTGACCAGTTTCTTCCACAATGGCTAAAAACCAGCCTGGAGAGATATCGTGAAAATATGGTGGTTAGGTCTGTAGCTTCTTCAAAATGCAGACTAGAATGAAAGAAGCCATAATGAACAACAAGAAAAAGGTCCCACAATATTCCTAGAAATGCTAAAGGATCAGATGAAAAAGTATTGGAGTTAGACATTAAGTAAGGGATGCTATAATTACACTTTGTAACTCCCCAGTTGGTCACACATGTTAAAAGGGTGAGGAAAAACACCCTTCCTGACTAAAGTGAAGAAAACTGAAAGAGTTATTGAGAGAGGCCACAAAGGTCTGTGTAAGGAGAAACAGAAAAACACACACAGAAGACTAATTGTTAACCATTGTAAACCAGACTAATGAGGGTGGACAAGGATCTGGGAAATCAAGGTCCAAATGCAAGGAAAGCAAATGTTAGAAATGCAGAAAAAAGGATGTTTCTCATCTTAAAACGAATATAGAAATAGTAGTCCTCATGTCTTTTGATGAGGATTAAAAGACACTGATAAATGTCTTTTATCATCTAATCCTGCAACCATGGGGTTAACTGAGGAGCTGTTTGGTTTTGTTTGTTCTTCTATTTTTATTGCTGGAAGATTCCCTCACATTTATGTCATCTTGGCAGTGAGCCAACCCTCTTTCTCCATACTCTTTTTCTTCTAACTACAGGGAGAAAAAAGAAAGAAAGAAACAAACAAACAAAAAAAAACCGAAAGTAGAGATATGGAAGTCCAAAGGGGGAAAAGTTTACAGGAGACTTATGACAACAGTAACAGCAAAATCATGTGGGGAAATGGGGTGGACTTCTAGTAATAGGACTCGTTGTTCTTACAGATGACTAAGGTTCAACTTCCACAACCTACATGGTGCTTCACAGCCATCCATAATTCCAGTTCCTGGAGATCTGATGCCCTATTCTGCAAAGACATGAAGACAAAACACATATAAGATTAAATGAGTAAATCTAATTGCAGTCATCTTAAAAGCTTGGTAATTAGAAGTATGTGGGCACACCCTCTTCTAATGTGTAGCCCAGTATATATGCAGACCTAGAAAAGGTTAGATTGAGTGAGGTGACCCAGACCCAGAAAGACAATACCACGTGATCTTTCCCATCAGATGCTCCTTGCCCCAAATCTTAAGATCTAAGTGTACTCCTAATCCTTCATCAAAGAAAATTCTCTTTGCAGCAACAGAAGACCATTAAAGAAAACCACAACAAATCAAATTGCAGAGGTGTGGAGCCCTGTCCCATTGGTTAAAAACACAGCACAGTTCCCACTCTTGAGGTAGAGGGAGCATTACAAAAGAGTTGTCAGAAAGATTTCAAGAGCCAGTGGATCAGGGAATTTTCTGTGAGATTGCGTCTCCTTCTCATGCTCAGAGTTATCCCCATAAAGTTTCACCAAGATGACTGTCTAAACCTGAGCAGAACAAGCACAATAACAGTGGACATAGGAAAGTGAGGAGGGAGAGACAGTGAGGATTCAGCTCTGCATAGAGACCTAGAGACAACTAAGAGATGCCGAGAATGCTAGAAACAGTCTTTTTTATTATTACTTCAATTTTAAATAGCTTGTTTTACATGTCAATCCCAGTTCCCTCTCCCTCCCCTCCTCCCGCACCCCACCATCCCCCCCAGCCTCCCACCCTATTGCCATTTCCTTCCACATAGGGGATATCCAGAGTCTGTCATTTCACTCAGGGTAGGGTCCCCTAAGAGTCCAGGCTGAGAGAGCATCCCTCTTTGTATTATGGACACACGATGTCTGTTTGTATTCCAGGGATAAACACTGATCCACTGCCCAGGGCTTTGACCTTTGAGTATGGCAGAACAGCATTAGGCATAATTTTATTCGTGTTTCTATAGCAGCACAAAAGTGTTCAGTTTCCCCTTAGGTCTCTGGCCTCCACACTCTCAGGTTCTTGGTCACCAGAGCAGTGTTGGGGATGGTTTCCATCTCATGGTGTGGGCCCCAAAACCAATCAGATATTGGTTGGTATTCCCAAAAGCTTTGTGTTGCCATTACACCAGTACATCTTACAGGCAGGACACCATTGTAAATAGAAGGGTTTGTAGCTGGGTTGGTGTTTACCTTTCTTCTTTGGTAATGTGACTAGTACCTTCCAGTAACATGAACACTAGTCCATAGTGGTAAAGGCTTTATGTAGGCACCAGCTCAAGTTCTCCATATTCCAGGAAGTTTGCATGTGTTGTCTCCAACAACAGGACCTCACCATCAGTGTGTGGAGAACAACCAACAGCCTTGGCCCCTAGCCGAGGTTGTCCAAGTGTTTTCATAGGATTCCTTTGCCAACAACGTGATTAGATATAACATAGTTTCCAAACTGAAGGATTCAGTTGGTGACGAGAGATGTCCATTTGGGGCTCCAAAAGGAGACCATGACAATTTTAACCATAAAGTCTGATAAAAGAGAGATCTTAGACACCTGTGCCATGACCACACCTGCTTTGGGCGTGGCTACAGATGCATATGATCTTGGGAATAAAAGGGGGCAGGGGAGATGCTCGCTCTCTTTTGGGCTTCTGGTCCGGTCCCTGAAAGCTGCTGACTCACCTGGTTTGCCAGTTTCTGTTGTAAGTTCCTTCCACAATAAATAGTTACCTATGCCCTCATCAAGTGTGCAATTTGTTTTTCAGCGATAGTTAATAGCTACCAACAGGGGCAGAAAGATGAGTCAGTAGGTAAAGACAATTGCTACAAAACCAGTCAAAGCATCCAATCCCTTCACACGTGGTTGGAGGAGGGAATGCATATTTGCAAATTGCCTTCTGCACCATCCCACAAATACATTCACACACAAGTAATAAATACATACGTGTAACTTAAAAATTTGAAGAACCATACGTGAAGGCAGGTGTGGTAGTTCGTACCTATAATCTCAGGATCTGGGAGGACGAGCTAGGAAAACTTCACGTGTTTCATGGGCATCCCGGGCTGCCTAGTGAATTCCATTCCAGCCTGATGTCCAGAGTGAGATACTGTTTCAAACAACAGTAACAACAAAGGACCAGATGTGGTAGCATATTCCTGTGTTACAGGAACCAGGAGGACTAGGAGTTCAATATCATCTTCAGTTACACAGGGTAGGAATAAGCCTGGAGAACATGAGACACTTTGTCAAAGCAAAGGAACCAAACAAACAAATAACTATGGATGAAATATAGGAATGGTAGCAAAGGCCTGAGGTAGCAATGGAAGTAGCGTCAACTTACTGTCCTTAATGCCTCAGGGTCCTGGCATGCACAGACCCATGACGATTTTCTGAATGCCTTTTTTTAACCTGTGTGTGTATCTGTTTCCACTTATAGTGACCAGAAGAGGGCGTTGATCCCTGGAGCTGGATTCCCCGGTGGTTATGAACCACCCAATGTGGATATAAGCACAGTTCCTCAGTAAGCTCAGTACTCACTCTTAATGACTCAGTTATCTCTCCAGTAACCTGACATTCATATTTAGAAACATAAACAGCATGAGGCCTGGAAAGATGGCTCACTGGCTAAGGACACAGAATACTATTCTGGGGCGGGGCCTGAGCTTGGTTTCCAGCTCACACATCAGAGAGCTCACAACCACCTGTCATTCAGGACCCATAGATATCTGTGCTTCGGGTCTCAGAGGATGACGACACTCATATGTACGTACCCACATTCACATGTGTACCTGGAAATAATAAAAAATGAGAGAGTGGCAACAGAATAATCATGAAGAATTTCATGCCAGTGTACATGAAGATGTAGACAAAATGTACATATGCCTCAATGCTACTG